CCCTGAGCTTTTATACTTTAGGCTAGCCCTCTCTCAAGACATGAGCCCCCAGCGCCTCCAGCTACAGACACACAGACACCCACACAGACAGACACAGACAGACACACACACACACAGACACCCACCCACCCACACAGACAGACAGACAGACACACACACAGACACTCCCCCACACACAGACACAGACAGACAGACTGACACACACACACACACACACACACACACACACACACACACACACACACACACACACACACACACACACACACACACACACACACACCCTTTTAAAGAAAGATTCAGTCTGTAATTCCAGACACTGACACTTTTAGCCCCTGGGAAAGTGACTTCAATTTTGGGCAGAGGCAGGAAGTTGGAAATCATGAGGCATTAGAGCCCAGGAGCCTGGGGACCAGGAAGGTTGCAAACTTAGAAGACTAGGTAGCTGTGAGACAGAGAGAGTGGTAGCCCCAGGAGTGAAGGAAATTTTATTTCACTTCTGAATTTTATTTTGGAAGGAAACTCTTCATACTGAGAATACCAGGCAGCAACAATATCTATTTAATTGGGCACTGAAGGAAATTCTTAGGCCCAGTAAGCTCTATATCAGTGTTCTAAAAGAGTCCAACTATTTGGATGACCCGAATTTAAGTGAAAGAAAGCTCCACAAGAGCCACCACATCTGGAGTAGAGATAAAATGAGAGGCTCAGGAGGCTCAGTGAAGCCTCAGCTCACACTTAGAGCTGCTCTGATTTCCTCAGAACCCAAAGGGAGGTTGAACAAAACACATGGGTAACACTTTTGAACGCACCCTTTGCCACATCAAGGAAATGTATAGTTGCAGGAAGTGACCTAATCAAATGGTCAACTGCTTGTCTATTGCCTTTCCTCTTGTGTCCTCCTATCCATTCCCTGTTCTTTCTTCCTTATTCTCTCCTTCCTTCTACTCCACTCATTTCCTCTTCCTTTCTCTTCTCCTCCTTTCTTCAATTTTCTCCTTCCAGGCTTGCCATTGTCAAGCCAAAAAACACGTGGAAAGGTCTGGTGCTGTAGCTCAGTGGTAGAGAGATTGCCTGGAATCCACTTGAAAAAGAGGAAAAGACATTTATTTGGAGCTTTGCGTGCCAGAATAAACTAAGGGCATATTCAAACAGGTTAAGGCAAAGATAATTTTTAAGTTAAAAAATAAATTTACATCATATATTCTGAAACACTAAACCTTGGCTAGAATGATTATCCCACAAGAATGTTGTCATTCTATGGAGGACAGACAGTTGATTGACAGATGTCTTGTAGAGATGCTCTTGAATCAGGTCACAGGTGACTTCTATGCAAATCTGTAGTCTGGCAGAATATATATCTTAGGGTAGTTACCACCAGGCCATCATGTGCACAAAAACTCTTCCTTTATAACGTCTTGCCTTTATTTATTTTTTGGGTTAGGGAGGTCAAGGTGAATACAAAGGACTCCATTTTGGTTCTGACAACTTTTACACTTGTTTTATGTCATCATCTTTCCTACATTTCCTTTTTTTTTTTATTGTGAAAATACCGTACAGAGGGGTTACAATTACATGGGCAAGGTAATGAGTACATTACCTCCTCCTCCTTTGTTTCCCCTTCCCATCCCTTCCCATCTCCTACATTTCTTTTGAAAGTATTTACTGAAACTCTCTAATATATTCATCGATGGTGCTAGGCACTAGGGAAAAATAGTGAACAAAAACAAATATAATTCCTCTCTTCTTGGTGAGGCCCAAGAAGGAGGGAAATGCTTTACTTCCTCTCTAATATATTCATCGATGGTGCTAGGCACTAGGGAAAAATAGTGAACAAAAACAAATATAATTCCTCTCCTCTTGATGGGGCCCAAGAAGGAAGGAAATGCTTTACTTCATTACACAACTTTTGAATTGTAAATGAAAAAGAAGTCCAATAAAGACTGTGACTCTCAGGAAGCAGAGTGACAAAACAAAGAGTTTTATAAATAACAAACCAGCTTGGAAGATGATGAGAAATTCCAAATACGAACCCTTTATGTGATTTATTTTTTATTTTTTATTTTTTTGCAGGGGAAGTAGTACAGGTCACAGATGGGTGGACACCAAAGTGATTTATAATATTCTTGCTTTTGCAAAGGCCAGTGAATGCCTCAACCCTGTGAATCTATAGGAAAGCATAAATGATTTTTCAGAGTGTGTTGATCCGTGTCTGTTCCCCCCCCTGCCCTGTTCCCCCCCCCCTCCCCCGACCACTTCATATAGTGCATTCCTTGCTAGGCTTGATGGACAGTTAAATCAGTCAAGAAGGAAGAAAACAAATCAAAGTCAGGAGAAAGAGCTTAGCTTGGACAGTTTCAGCATTATAGGTTGTAATAGGAAGAGAGGGGATATGATGTTCTGAGTATATACATTGACATCCTCACCTACTGACAAAGATTTTTTTGGGCTAAATTTTAGCTAGCCTCTCAAATCTGAGAAGTCTAGGAGCCTAGGCCACTGTGTATACTTCCTTGAATACTTAAGTTTTTAACAAAGATTCCTGCTTAATCAGCGGGCCATTTCTATTGATACTCCCTCATTAACTTTGCTTGTTTGTGTTTTGTCCAAGCCCTCTTCCTCTTACTACAACCAGAGCATTTCCAAGCCAGCTCCAGAGAGGAATGTGAAGAGACCAGTCCTGCCCTGCTCCTGAAAGAAGTGGTTGGTAAAGGAATGTAAGTTAGGCAGGAAACTTGGGCCTCGGGGGAGTGGGGGGTGAAGGATGGGAAGTTGGGGGTGGGAGGCGTGGTGCTGGAATCAGTCCTGGCAAGGGAAAGCCAAACTTTCCCTCCATTGGAGCAAAAGAAGACTGAATATGATTTAAATTAAAAAGTAGTCTTCTGTATTTTATTTCTTGAAACATAACTTTGGGGTTTAAATGTAAAAGGAGGTCTCTGTCTGGGATTCTGGTAGTATTTCTGGCTGATTCTCATCATAAGATGACTTGCCCTCTACCTTGTTCAAGGTCATGGAAGGCAGACTGGTCTTTCTTAGTCTAGAAAAGGGCATATAGATCTTCCCAGAGAACTGACAAAGCAGGAAGGTTTATAAATATTGGAACAGAATCTGACACCTACAAATTCTTCCCCTAATTAGAAATCTTAGGAGCAGTCTTCCTGAGATGATAACCAGCGTGTCCTAACCAGCATATCTCAAACTCCTTATATCCACCCCCTCTCCACCTCCTACTGATGATCTACCTCAGGCTGGGGACATGGCTCAAGTGATAGACCATAGAGTCTTAAGTTCAAACTCTAGTACCATAAAAATAAATACATACATATCTAATCCTCAGCATGGAGTGTTAATTATCAAATACAATTGAAAACTATACATTGAAAAACTCAAGTACTATATTGAATGTTATTATTCAAAATATTGAATAATAAGTATATTGAATGCCCTTGGCTTTTTGAGTTTAGTGGGATTTTCATTTTCCCCAGTTAGTATAATGTTGGCTATAGGTTTACCATGTATACCCTTTATTATGTTCTATTCCTGCTTTCTTGAGAGCTTTTATTATGAAGGGATGTTAAATTTTGTCAAATGTTTTGTTCTGGATCTATTGAAATGATCATGAGACTTTTGTCCTTTAAGTGTTGTATTATGTTCATTTCTTTCCATGTGTTGAACCATCCTTGTACTCATGGAATGACACCCACTTGATCATGGTGTATGATGTTTTTTGCGGGTGTACCAGTCCTGGGGCTTGAAGTCAGGGCACTGTCTCTGAGCTTCTTTTGCTCAAGGCTAGTGCTTTCTGGTTTGAGCCACAGCTCCACTTCTGGCTTTTATTTGGGGGTGGGGGGATAGTTTATTGGAGATAAAAAAATCTCATGGATTTTCTTGCTTAGGCTGGCTTTGAACTGTGATCCTCAGATCTCAGCCTCCTGAGTAGCTAGGATACAGGCATGAGCCCCTGGTGCTTGGCCTGATCTGAAATTGTTATTATGGCCAATTGTGGATATACTGGCCAAGCTTACATTTGTAAGCTTATTTAAATGAAGCCATTGATGTATTACAAGTCTCCTAAGAAGCTTATTTCCTAAAAAGAGTTAAGCAAGGCCCATGTTTTTAAAAACAACAAACAATTTCTTTCATTTCGTATCCATTTGTTGCCTATTTACTAAGCTAAACTGAAAGAAATACTACTACTACTATTACTACTAATATAACACTTATTCTATGCCAAGTAATAGTCAAATGCTTCTATATATTAACTAATTTAATCTTTTCTCAAACTCTAAGGGAGGGAGGGACTGGGAGAGGGACCGGGACAGGGACCGGGAGAGAGAGAACATATTAGAAAAATGATGGAAGCAAAAGGACTGGGGGTAATGGCAAACAACAAAACACGGAGAAACAGACAAACAAAAATCCAATTGATGATTGATAGATTTTTGAAAGCAGCACCACCATTATGAGGTTAAAATGTACTTTGCTATGGTTAGAAATGTGTCCTGACAGAAAAAAGAAACAGCAAGCCAGGATGGGAACAGGAGCCCTTGAAATGTTCACAGGTCCCGTGAAGTCTGGGAAGGGCATTGCCACCAGCCCACGCAAAGTCCTGTTATCTATCTATGCAGGCAGTCTGTTGATGTGTTAGGGAGATCGGGGCTGGGGCCGGGTAGTCTGGAGACCACCTTCCATGGGGGGAGGGGGGAGATCGTTGGGTGGGTCTGAATTTCTTTTGTGCATTTCCTTCAGGACCACTTTCCCTGGGCCAGCAGGAGGCCCAGGCACGACCGTCCCCTGTGGTGTCTCAAGGGCTGTCCCACAAAGCCTTGGAGGGCGTGACTCCATTGCGGGGGGGTGGGAGTGGGGGAGGAGGGTGGGGTCCTCCACGCCCACGCCGTGGCCAGTCCCGCGCTCAGGTTTGCCGCGCTGCCCTGGTTCTGGGGACAGCGAGTGGTGCGCGCGCGCGCGTTCTCTTTAAGCGCTGGGACCACATTTTGGGTGGAGCTGGCAGCAGCCCCGGACGGAACTCCGGAGTGACTTTCGGAGGAGGGAGACTCCCAGATACCGGGAGAGGGAGCAGCGGCGACTGCCATCCTAGAATCGCGGGCGGCTGCTGCGTGCTTGCTGCGCAGAGATGTCCGCGGCGTCAGCGCGGAGCCAGGGGAAGGGTGAGGCCTGCGCCCAGCACCGGGACGGGTGGTCCCGGTGTCCCGAGGCCTCTCTAGTGGGGAACCGGGCTGTTGAGGGCTCCGGGGAGTGGGGGGAAGTCACCCCCTTCCCCGATCGTCACCTGTTCTCTTCTCCCTGGCAGGCAGCGCGCCCCCGGGGCCTGTCCCCAATGGCAAGATCCGCCTGTACAGCATGCGTTTCTGCCCGTACGCTCAGAGGATCCTGCTGGTCCTGCAGGCCCGGGGAATCGGGTGAGGACTGAGCGGTGGGACCCCTCCCTCCACCCCAAGCCGTCAGTCAGCCTGGGCAGTGGGCTGGGATCTCGCAATAGGGCCCTTGGAAGTTGGGGTTGTTTGCTTTGTTTGTAGGAGAAGTGTCTCAGCCCTGTGTGGGAAACAGCAAGTTACACATCCGCAGACTCCAGCAGACTACGACAGACAGGGTGTTTTAGATTACCCAACCATTTGGGGGAAGGAGGAGGGAGGTTGTTTTTGCCTTATTAATGTCGGTTCTGAACTAGAGGCCTGGGCTTTTGTGCTCAAGGCTATAGCACTCTACCACTTGAGCCACAGTTCCACTTCCTGTCCAACCTTTTATGAATTAGAAATCAACTGACGTTGGGAGGAAAGTTAGTGACTGGCTCAAGATCACTCTTGGGTTAAGACCACCAGTGATAGTTATCCCAGTGGCTTCTCTGTTCTTCTCTGCTGTTGCTTTGTGGGTGTATGGCCTGTCCTAAGTGTAGACTCTCAGTAGAGTTGGGACGTAATCCTCCTGGCAGTGTACCCAGTTGTCCTGTGCACTTCCTGGCAGATGGGCTTGTTGCATTAGTTACATGAAAGGTGTCTGTGTTTAGAAAGTTGTCTGTCGGAAAACCCCATTATTGGAAATTGTTGAACAGTGGGTTACCCACACTGGCTTTTCCTTGGCTTTTCTCTGATATCCAGGATCCAATGGAACCACTTCCCTTCCTCATGACCCTGGGAATCTGAGATACTAGTGGTCGTAGAAGGCTCTGTAGAAGTTTCAAATATCCCATTCTTAGGGAATTTTCTATGTGCTTAGAGTGGAGGAGACTAATTTTAGCCTTCTAAAGAGAGAAGTATGCAGTCATTTCTTTTCTCTAAATGCAAGATGCAGTCAAGGCTTCACTGACTTGCATCTCACTTGGATGGAAGTATGCTTCTGAATGTATATAAAACATTCACTGCCTAGTAATGTGTATCTAAAGCAGTTTTCTTAGTTGTGGGGCTTGCACTGGGACCTGGGAGGTCTCTGAGCCTCTTTGTGCTCAAGGCTAGTGATAGGATAAATTAGACTTTGCAAGAGAACCATGCAGACATCTAGGTACAGAGAACAAAGGATGGTTTATTGCTGGGAAAGGGGGCTGGCAGGACCCCTTCTCAAAAGGGAGAAGTGAGAAGAAGCACCAGCTATAGTCTGAGGTGACATATAACTTCGGAGGCCTAGGGACTTCATAGTGGACTAGGATTTATGGCTGATGTGCAAATAGTAGATAAGGGGCCCTGCAACTGCTCAGACCTGAAGGTCACTCTAAAGGGCTCTTGTTGCTCTACCTGCCCCAGAGAAGTACCATCCCAAGGTAAAGGGGGTTGAAGGCTGATTATTTACTGCTTGTACTAAATGGGCCTAGTATTGCCTAGGAAGGGAGCTAAGCTGTGGAGAGGGGAAGGAGTGTGCTAAGCTATGGGAAGGGAGCTCATTTCGCCAACAGCTAGTGCTCTACCACTTGAGCCACAGCCACTTTCAGGTTTTGAGTGGTTACCTGGAATGAGTCTCATGGGGGAGTTTTCTGCCTGGGCTGGCTTTGAATGGCAATCCTTAGAACTCAGACTCCTGAGTAGCTATGATTAGAGGCTGTGAGCCACCAGCACCTGAAAAACACTAAGATTTGTGGCATTAGTCAAAACTGATATTGCAATGAGAAGAAATTCAAATAGGATTTTTGTTTTCAAAAGACATTTCTTATACTCATGAAATGACAAAGTCCAGGAGTAGGGCAGGGCTGGAGTCAGAGGTACAAAGTCCTAGGTTATGTCCCTCTCTCTGGATCTCTAGGTTGAAGTTACCAGTCTCACTTGGACAGTCTTTTAAAGGAAAATAGAATTTATATTACCACAACCATGTGGAGGGCTCCTGTGGGGGAAATAGTACCTTTCAGATAATGGCAGTCCTTCTATGTTCATGGATCAGTTTTAACTTTGAAACTCAGAACACCTTGGTGGATGAAGTACTATAAGTTTACTACATGTTGTAACCTAGCCAAGCAGTTTTCTGAACATGGTGTGTCTTTTAGCTCTTTGGAGCAGGTATGCTGGTCACTGGCTCCCAATGCTAAACTGCATCAAAATGTGTACTGAGAGGCTTTGATTGAAAAACTCCACAAACTACATTCAGTTTTCAGGCTATAAATTTTCAGAAATGTTGATCATTTGGCAGGGGGAGGTCTTGTGGGGTTTTTTTTTGTGGTTATTTTTTCTTTTTTTTTTGTAGTGGCTGGGTTGTATCTAGTATTCAAACTGGCTAGCCATTTGTTTCCAGGAGGGATTATGTATTTAAATTCTCAAAGTAAATGTCATAGCTACCATTGTAGATGAGAAATAGGAAAGACCAGGTGTCGGTATAGATTACACTTAAGGAATCTGTTCCATTGGACATTATTCCAGCTTGGGCAATTTTACAGCTTCAATTTAAGAATTATGTAACACTCTTGATTTCCTGTGTAATCATCCAGGAAAGATACAGGAAGATATAATTACAGTTGAAACATAGCCTAACTTCAGTTGTTTTTTTTTTTTCCTTTTTTCTTTTTTGGCTTACTTTGTAATTTTTTTTAAAAAAAATTATGCAACACTTAAAGAACACATCAACACTTAAGGATTTAATTTGAAACTATTTTGTGAATGGCTTTTTGAAAAAAATATTTTCTTACTATCCTTATGAAAATCTGGGCTTTTTAAAAGTCATATTCTCAAAGTGAATCAAATTGAAATAAATTTCACATTGATGTTCATATAGTGGGTAAAATTCATGTTGCTTCATATGAAGAGCTTATGAGATAATAGCACTCTTGTGTTCAATACAGCAGTATTCACAATAGTGTAATGTCACTATCCATTGGTGTTAAAGAAACATACTATTTCCTCTATAAAAAGCAAGAAATTCTGTAATATGTGGCAACATATATGGACTTTGAGGACATTATGCTAGGTGAAACAATCACACTTGAAATATAAATGTGGCACGATACTAGAGGTATCTAAAATAGTCAAATTCTTAAAATAGAAAACTAATATCGAGAGAAGCAAGGCAGAGATTAATTGAGTGGATGATTTCTTCAGAAGTTCAGGCAGTGGACTGGGCATGGTGGTATACACTTATAATCTCAGCACTCAGGAGATGGAGGCAGGAGAATTTTGAATCCATGGCCAGCCTAGACTGCATAGCAAGACCTCCTCTCATAACTACAGAAAAAAAGTACATATCACCCAATGTGGAAGAAATAACTATATTGTCAAAGCTCATAGAACTCATAAACTTTATAGACCACGATAAAAAAATCATATACTTTCATATAAATCTTTGATTCACAAAATACAGAAAAAAAGAGATGATTCTCTTGTATGTGCCTTTTAGGCATGAAGTCATCAATATCAACCTGAAAAATAAGCCTGAATGGTTCTTCACGAAGAGTCCTCTTGGTCTGGTGCCAGTTCTGGAAACCAGTCAGGGTCAATTGATCTATGAGTCTAACATCATTTGTGAGTACCTGGATGAGGCATTTCCTGGGAAGAAGCTGTTGCCAGAAGACCCGTATGAGAAAGCATGCCAAAAGATGACTCTTGAGTTATTTTCCAAGGTATATGTGTGTGTGCGTATGTAAGAAATGTCACTCCTATTTGAAAAAGTGTTTTTTTTTTTTTTTTTTTAAATCTTCCTGCCTCATCTTTTGCTAGGAGAAAAGTCTTGGCCTGATTATCAACAAGGCATAGTTGATATGTCTGTTCTAGTACTGCTGTCTTCCAAGAGCTTGCTGGAGCCGGTCAGTGCTCTAGATCTGTGTTCTCAGATGTGGTAATTTTATATAAATATTCTATATGTAATGTATAATATATAATAAGTATGTAATAAATAATTATGCTATGATATATAATTGGATGTTTGAAAAATGAAGCTTATGTAAACATACATTATAAGGGGAAGCAGAAACTACTACAGGGAAAGTGGAGCAGTACTTAAGCTGGGGTAAGAAACTAGACAAAGATGGAAATGTGCATAGAAGGGCTGCTTGCAAACCTTCAGTTCCATTGAAGGCAAACCATACTGACATGGATGGGTTTTACAAGTACCTGTGAACTTAAGATGGAATGAATGGTCTTCTCTTACAAGGTGATCTCAAAGAACTATCAGAACACAAAACCACCTCCACCACAGTGATGATGGCGGATGATGGTTAGGTGATTTAATAATCATCTGACAGCACATCTGTCAGGTCTTCAGGTAGTCAGTCCCTTTTAAATAGTCCTTCTGTATCCTCTTCAAGGCAGAATTCAGAAAAATTCCCAATCACCCTTTGCAGCTGGGTCCAGGCCTGTGACCTGGGCTTTTGTCATAGCTATTCATTCCCTCAGTGTGTAATTAAGAAACTTTTTGGCTTAAAGATTCCAGTGACTTCTGTTACCACATCTTAGTTCTAAAAGCATTCCATGTCTTCTGTGAATACAGGGGACTGGGTGCACCCTGCACTTTGGCAAAAGCTTCATGCCAGTGCTACTAGGGTTCTGTCATGTTTCAGTGGAAGTGAGCTGATGTCAGCCTCAAACTACTATATTATGATATTATTCTTTCTAGGTACCATCTTTGATAGTAAGCTTTGTTAGAGGGCAAAATAAAGAAGACTGCTCTGGCCTAAAAGAAGAATTGCGGAAAGAATTCAGCAAGTTAGATGAGGTAAAGTTTTCTGTCCCAGTTTTCATCACAGTAAATGATTTATGTTGACTTACTTTCTTCATCTTCCCATTTCCCAAGTTACTTTATGGCAGTTAAAATTCCTAATGTCTGGGTGTGGTGGCATATGCATGTAATCTCAGGTACTTGAGAGGCACAAGTAAGAGGAGGTCAGAGGCTGCCTGGGCAAAAAAGCAAAACCCTATCTGAAAAATAAAGCAAAAAGGGCTGAGATGTGAGTCAAGTGGTTATAGCACCTGTCTAGCAAGTGCAAGCTATCACTATTAAAAACTAAAAAAAATAAGCAATGCCAAACAAAATTTGGACTTACAATAGATTGTTATGAGCCATTCTGCTTATGACACAAATTAGAAGACTTGGAAGAACTCTATCATGAGCTTGTTTGTATTTATTTTTATTTTGAGATGAGGTTTTGCTGGGGAATTCAAGCAGGCCTCAAACTCTTGATCCTCCTGCCTTAGCCAGTGCTGGGATACTGTTGTGCACCAACATGCACAGAGCATAGCCTTGTCTTAAAATCTGGTTGCATTACTTAAAATAATGACAAATGAAAATATTATCTACAAAAAAAAAAAAAGAAAATATTATCTACACTTCCACAACTGGTCACCTGTTGAATTTGTTTGGTATCTACTATAGCTATGACCTTTTCCCCTTTAATCCAGATATGGTGTTATTGGTATTTGGGGTGTTGAACTATCCTAAGGTTACTGGCATAAAACCTACTTAATCTCAGTGGACTTTTATATGTATTATAGAATTAGTTAATAGTTAAACGATTTCTGAGTGTTTTCCTAAATGAAACCAACACACAATTTCCTGTTCCGATAGCAGCTATTTGTTTTGCATCAAGGATTACCTAATTTCTTAAATGAGTTGGACAAGTTCCCTTATTTTTTGAATCTCCATTTGATAGCGATTGGCTGTTTCTGTAAAACAGTCAATGCTGGTGTCTTTTGCAGATTTTTCATTACCAGTTCAATTTCTTTACTGGTAACTTGATTTTTTTTGTTCTGGGGGGAAGGTTGTATTTCTTCTTGAATCAACTTTGGTAACATATTTTTTTCTCCTGGACAGTATGGTATCTAGAAAGTAAGATGCACACATATTCTTCCAATGGTAATAAGTTTAGTAGCAGACAGAAAGCCATTAGTCCTGCACTTATACACAACCAATCTCCAATGCAGAATGTTCCATGGGCCCCGAGGAAAACTATGGAGGTGATGCTTGATGGTCTTCTCCTTCTCTCTTCTCTTTAAGCATTTTTGGGTTCTCTTAATAAAAATATATTTTGGTAATGCATCTGCAAGAAACTGAAGAATTTGTAATTGCTCTGCAGTATTTTCCAAATCACTGTGAGTCAGTGCTTTCTTTTCAACTGTCAGATCTGCAGGAATGGGTGGCTACATATTAAAGAGATCCATGTGCTTACCTATGAACACCAGAACCTCCCGGTTGACGCTGGATAGTTTTTCATGATGACTCAGATATGGACCAGGGCAGTGACACTAGCTGCTGCTATCCACACTTGTCCTTGGCCATAGCCAGGTCCTCAATCTTCTTCTTCCCCCACACTTGTCATTTTTCTTATTGATTCCCAGGAATTCTTTGTATATTTGGTCCTTTGTATCTTACTTGTCCTTTGTTGCTTATTTATCTTTGTCAATTTCCTTGTTTGTCTATTTGTCAGTCATGGGGCCTGAGCACTGTCCTTCAGCTCTTTAGCTCAAGGCAAGCACTCTACCACTTGAGCCACAGTGCCACTTCTGGTTTTCTGGTGTTTTACTGGAGATAAGAGTTTTGTTTTTGCCAGTCATGGGGCCTGAACTCTGGGCCTGGGACTGTCCCTCAGCTCTTCAGCTCAAGGCTAGAGCTCTACCACTTGAGCCACGGCGCCACTTCTGGCTTTTTCTGCTTATGTGGTGCTGAGGAATTGAACCCAGGGCCTCATGCATGCAAGGCAAGCACTCTACCACTGAGCCACCTTCCCAGCCCACTTCTAGCTTTTTCTGCTTATGTAGTACTGAGGAACTGAACCCAGGGCTTCATGAATGCTAGGCAAGCACTCTACCATTAAGCCACATTCCCAGCCCCTTAGTTTATTTCTATTTATTTACTTTATGTTAGTCAAACAGGTTCTGAAGCTGTTTACAATCAACTAGACAAAAGTCCAACTTGAATATGTAAGGATAAAAGCTTTTGCTTATTCCTGTTCTATTAATTGGTTTTCATCATTTCTAACAGTGATTCTTATTACATGCACAAGTTCTGTTGTTTAATGTTCAGGTCCTGATTAACAAGAAGACAACTTTCTTTGGTGGAAATTCTATCTCCATGATTGACTACCTCATTTGGCCCTGGTTTGAACGCCTGGAACCACTGGAACTAACCGAGTAAGACCTCTGAATATTTTTGTGCATAATTTAGGACAATAGGCATGCTACTGTATATTAAATTTTTTTTCTGGAGAAAATTGGCATGAATGAAGATAAGCAGATTGGAGAGTCCTGGGCTATCCAGGGCACCATATTCCTCTATTCACTACATCTCTTCCTCCCTGGAGGGGATTTCTGTGACATGGATTAAAATGTTTTAAGATTTACTCCTTCTACTGGTTACAAATTTATAATGCTAAACATTTTTCTCTAAGTTTCTTGTTATAGAATTCTATGAACAGGATCACTTCCCATCTACTAGTAAGATTTCCCAGGTCATTTTTGAAAGCTCTGTATTTTAAGTTTGGCAGCTAGTCATCTTGGCTTACTTCCTTTTTCTGTAAAAAAAAAAAATCAGTCTCACAATTTGCACAATTTTGGTCCCCTCCCCCCACTTACTCAGCAGCTCAGGCTGGCCTCAAACTCACAAGCTCCCTTCCTCAGCTTCCTGAACGCTGGGGTAATACAGGCCTGCATTATCATACCCAGTGGGACAGTACTAACTGAAGCAAGTCACTTATCTCACCTTTGATCCCTCTTCTGTAAAACAAATATCTCTATACCTTTCAAATGCAATATTCTATGATTACATGCATATTTTAAAGAAATATTTAAAAAGTAACCCTTTTAAAAAGTTAGGAAAAACAATGAAAACCAGTGATACGATGATCCGTGGGAGACTTCGCAATGCCATTCTAGTTAATGTAGCTTACAACTGTAATTCTTCCTCCTACAGATGTGTCTCCCACACTCCCAAACTGAAGCTGTGGATGACAGCCACGAGGAAAGATCCCATAGTAACAACCTTCTTCATTGACCCGAAGAGCTATCGAAGCTTCTTCAATCTCTATTTACAGAACAGCATTGAGGCCTGCGACTATGGACTCTGAATTCAGGGCACAGGATTCATTGTGAAGCTATGTCTGATAGTTTCTATCACTGACAGGAATACTGATTTCAGGACTTGATTTCATTTCACCAAGTAGTCTCAATCTCATTGGCTCATCTCTGATTTGATATCCTGGCTTAACAGGGACTCCACAGGTTACTCAAATAACTTTTTAGGTTTTATAGTTTTTGCTGTAACACCCCTACCCCAACATCTCTGCTAAGACCTAGACTCTATTCTAGATGGCTAACTTCTTACAGAAAATACTCACTGTGATATTTTGTGTGATCATTCCAGGAAATTAATGTTCTCTCAAGTTGTGTTTTGTTGTTTTCTCTTCTGGCTTTTGAATTGGGAAACTATCAAGTGAATCGCACCCTTTGAAGAGCAGGTCGAAATCTCCTTAAAACTTGGTGGCTAGTGATCTACGGTTTGGTATCCCAGCCTCCAATCTCATAATCACTTCATATCTTTCCTTCAAATCTCATGCCAGGCACATTAGTTATCTCTTCTAGATAGTTAAATACTGCGGAGAACAACCACATTCGCTATATAAGGCTGGATTAAAAAAAAATCGGTAATAGCTCAGTGAGAAATATATATATATATATATATATATATGTATGTATGTATATGTATATGTATATATTAGATCACCTCCACCAAGAGAAGGTAGGTCAGAAAGGCTCTTTTCTGATGCGACAGATCCCAAGGTTAGGCGAGGCCTTCGGATGTAGGTAGAAAGTTCTAGAGAACATATCCAAGATGCCATCCGCCAGGTTCAGAGTTTAGAGAATCACACATAGTGATGAGAGTCTGGCTTCCTGGATTTCCAGGGAGGATCAACGTAGCATGATTATTTCTTCAGCGTGCATAACAATCGCCGAAGGCTGGGCCCCAATGCGTGGCTGATTTAGGGGACACCCCCACCCCCACCCGGAATCCTTGGTGATGTGCACGCCTCACCCTGGAGGCAGCCAAGAACCGGTTGACTTCACAAACGGCTTCGTTTGCCCATCCCTGGCTATCCCTCGATGCCCCGGCTTCCCTGGCGAGCCCGTCTGTGAGGCCGTCCGCCCGCCAGCCCCCGGCGGCTCCCGCCGGACTTCCGATTGGGTGCGGGGTCCCGGTGAGGCGGGACCACCGCCAACCCTTACCCACCTCCCTCGTTCTTCCGCTTTCTCGCCATTGACTCAGGCTCGGACTCAGCACTTCGATACACCGGAGCTGTAACGCGGCTGCCCATTGGCTCCACTCTGCGCAAGCGCTTCCAAACGCCTTGGGGATTGGTTGAAGCTCAGGTCGCTGTGGCCAGTTGCCGGGTAGGATGGAGGGTGGTGGTGGATCAGGCCCCGCCCCACCCTTCCCGGCCCCGCCTCCCTCTGTTGCCCCCACCCTCCACTTCCTTGTAAAGGTTCTAAGTGTCCAGACCCTTGGGAGTTCTCCCCGGGACGTCTCTTCTGTCACCTCGGCTGAATGGATCAGTGTGCCCTTGTACTGTATTGGGAGGTGGAAAAGAGGACTCTAAGGTTAATTCTGACTTTGGGGGAAGTTCATGAAGTCTTGACTTTTGCATTCTAATTTTTACATTTGAAGACAAAGCCCCAATCTTTAACCTAAGTTTCATCTAATAATTTAACATTAAAACAAAACAAATCTAGGGGAGTGTGATTCAAATGGTAGAACGTTTGCCTAGCAAGCTTGAGGCCCTAAATTCAGTCTCCAACACAGCCAAGGAGGGGGGTAGGGGGGAGGTGGTGGGAAACCAAATGGAAACCAAGTCAAACCAATACAAGGGGCTGGGATGTAGCTCGCTGGTTTGAAAAAGAGCAATAACCCAACACTGGGGGGGGGGGGGGAAGGCGGGGGGGGGGGGGGAGGAGAGTTCCTAGAAAGAAAAGGAGAATGGCTACCATATTAATAAAGAACAGGCCTTTAAACTGAAACAAGTCTTTTAACTCAAATTGTTTTAATTTTTCTGATTTGTCTGTGGACAGTCAAGAACCCATCCCTCAGGTCATCAGTTATTGGGGTCCCCATGGGGTACTTCCAGCTCCACCACATGATTAGGGCACAGGCGGCGAGGGGAAGTTGATCTGCTGGAATGTCTTTTCTTTTTGAAGACTGAAAGTCTAACCTGCTGCATTTGTAGTAAAATTAAAAGCTAGTGTTGAACATTTACTAGGTGACTGCCAGACACGTACCAGTTGCTTCTCATCTGGGTCTGAATGAAAACTTCCAACACTATGTGATGTACTGGAACTATTACCACCAAATCATAGTATAGGACATCAGGGCAGAGAGTTTTTATAATTTCTGCAAAGCTGCCCAGCTATTAAATGTTGAGCGAAGCTTCAAATGTATTCCTGCTCTGAATAAGAAAGCTGTGGCCCAGATTATTATTCAACAAATCTTAGTAATTGAAGATTAATCAGCACAGTACAGCATAGTCCTCCTCATGACAAAATAGTTGAAAAAAAGAATTTCATCTGTACTGAAGAAATATAGGCTTTCCTTGTCATTATTTCCTAATCCATACGAGAATTATTTACTAGCATTCAAATTGTATTAGGTATTGCAAGTAATCTAGAGATCATTTAATATATATGGGAGGATACCCTTAGGTTGCAAATGCTACACTATTTCTATTAAGGTTTTTATTAGCATACATTAATTGTCCAAGAGATTTATTGTGACATTTCCCTTCATGCATGCAATGCACCTCAAGCAAAATCAGTCTCCTTTTCACACACTCCCTCATCCCTTCTCCCTTTCTCTTTCTTCCTTTCTTTTTCTTTCCTTCCTTCCTCCTTATCTTCCTTCCTCTCATTTTCTTCCTTTATTTCTTCCCTTCCTCCTTTCCTTCTTTTTTCTTTCTTTCTCTCTTTCCTTCTTTCCTTCCCTTCCTTCCTTTCTCTCTCTTTCTTTCTTTCTTCTTTCTCTCTTTCTTTTCTTTCTTTCTCTCTCTTTTTCTTTCTTTCTTTTCTCTCTCTCTCTCTCTCTCTCTCTTTCTCCCCCCCTCCTTCCTTCCTTTCTTTCGTCATTGGGCCTGGGAACTGTCCCTAAGGTCTTTTGCTCAGGGCTAGCACTTCCAGCCACAGCACTGCTTCTGGTTTTCTGGTGGTTGCTTGGAAATACAAGTCTCATGAACTTTCCTGCTGGGTCTGGCTTTGAATCACGATCTTCAGATCTCAGCTTCCTGAGTAGCTAGGATTACAGTTCCTTCTCCTTTTCTTAAAATAATTCCAACAAGTTTCCTAGTTCTATTTTCCTATACATTGCTATATATACCATTTTACATTCATGGAGTTGGGTGTACAAAGGGAGTCCTTGAACCAATTCTGAACCAGATGGCTGTATCCCCCTTTTTCTAACCATATCACTATTTTTTCGGTGGGGAGGGGAGGGTCGGTCGTGGGGTTTGAACTCTAGGCCTGGGTACTGTCCCTCAACTCTTCAGCTCAAGGCAAGCACCACTTCCATTTTCCTGAGTGGTTTATTGGAGATAAGAGTCCTCACTGACTTTCCTGCCTGGGCTGTCTTTGAACTGCGATCCTCAGATCTAGGATTACAGGTGTGAGCTCCTGGTGCCTGGTTTGACCATATCACTATTAAGCCTGGAAATTAACAGGAATTATTGATGCTGCTTTTCTAAACTGTGTATTTTATTTGATTTTTATTAATATTTGACTTTGCAGTGTCAGGAGTCTTAACATTTTGCCTTTGTTTATCCATATTCAATTGTATAGACTTTTTTTTTGATCTTTGATTCTTCAAGTAGTAAATAGAAATGGGGGTAGGAAAACAGAAATAAGTACTTTAAATGAAACTTTTCTTTGACCCTAGTGGAAAATTGAAATTCCTTCCTCTGGTGATTTTAGAAATTTTATTTAATATGTCTCCCAAACATTTTCATTAAAATGCAAGATTCCCTATGATCTTCAATTGCCGGAAACAAGTCCTAAAAACAGACTTATTTGAGAATGGAGCATACACCTCCCCATTTATAGTATTCTTTAAATTCAGTGAGCAAAAAAAAAAAAAAAAGTTCAGTGAGCAATAAACAGAACACCCACAAATATAATCTTCGAAATAAAGTGGGTTTCTGAAATATTGTCTGATGTAATCAAGGAAAAATTGCAAATAGAAATTTCATTTCTTCTCCTCAACACAAACTTACATAAATGCAGAAAGAAATTACTCTTGTGGTGGGACTGTTTTCCTAAAAAGCTTAGGGCACTAATCACCCAGAACTAAGACCTCTATATTTTCAAAATAGATCCGATTGTAATTCAAGTGACTGGAAACTGACTGATTTGGACTAGTCTCACATGACCTTATTAGAATTTTTGTGCTTGAGCAGGTCAGTATAATAGAGGTATAAACATGAAATAATAACACTGAAGGAAAGTTTGTAAAGAGGATTTTAGAAGTACCTCTTGGGCCTTCGAAGGGAAATAGGGATGAGCTTAAAAGGTCATCATTAAAATCTTGCTAGGGAAACCTTAGCATTCAGTGATAAGCTGTGAAACCACATTACTGAAATGTAGCCTGCAGCATTCAGCTGGCATTTAGCCGGGAACTGGTGGAATCAGTATTTTGAATTGAATTTTATCTAATATGCTTGGTGAAGCTGAACAGCAGTGTGTTTCATAGATCGAAAATGAGAATTCACTAGGCTATTAAAAACATGTCTCAATTCACTAGTGGTATTCATCAGTTTTGAGGTACACTGAGTTTTTACTATGCTGATGATACCTGAATTATTTTCTTCTGTACTTACAATGAACCCATCAAATAGGTTGTCACTTTACAGAGGAGGAAAACAAAGGTCAGAGAGGTTTAATTTTTGCCTCAGTGACAAAACCAGGTTGCGAAATTAGCCCATCTCTTATCTTTTTTCTAATGTCACCAAATAGACTTGTGTTCTAGAACTTGACTTCTCAACATTCAGATTAACTTGTTATTTTGAGACAAGATCTCACTGTCCAAACAGGTCCTCACAAATATAAAACTTTTTTATGTATATATTGTTTTGTGCTGGTACTGGGGCTTGAACTCAGAGCCTCACACTCTCTTGGTTAGCTTTTCTTTTTTTCCTCAAAGTTGATGCCCTAACATTTGGGCCACCCCTTTACTTCTAGCTTTTTGCTACTTAATTGGAGAGAAGAGTCTTATGGATTTTTTGGGCCAGGATTGGCTTTGAACTGGGATCCTCAAATGTCAGCCTCCTGAGTAGTTAGGACTACAGGCATGAACCACCAGTGTGCCTGGCAGTTTTTATTTTTTTAAATGGTTGGGAAAAAAAAAACATCA